ATATATATATATATATATATATATATATATATATATATATATATATATATATATATATATATATATATATATATATATATATATATATATATATATATATATATATATATATATATATATATATATATATATATATATATATATATATATATATATATATATATATATATATATATATATATATATATATATATATATATATATATATATATATATATATATATATATATATATATATATATATATATATATATATATATATATATATATATATATATATATATATATATATATATATATATATATATATATATATATATATATATATATATATATATATATATATATATATATATATATATATATATATATATATATATATATATATATATATATATATATATATATATATATATATATATATATATATATATATATATATATATATATATATATATATATATATATATATATATATATATATATATATATATATATATTAATAAAATAAATAAAACATTTATTACAAACAAATCAAATTAAAATATACACATTAAAATACAAACTATATAAAAAATGTTTAAACCATTTTAAATTCAAAATTATTAGCCCCTTTAAGCTATATATTTTTCATTCATTCATTTTCTTGTCGGTTTAGTCCCTTTATTATTCCGGGGTCGCCACAGCGGAATGAACCGCCAACTTATCCAGCAAGTTTTTATGCAGCAGATAACCCATAACCCAGCGGATAACCTGCAACCCATCTCTGGGAAACATCCACACACACACACACACACACTCATACACTATGGACAATTTACCCCTTCCCAATTCACCTGTACCGCATGTCTTTGGACTGTGGGGAGAAACCGGAGACAAAAAAATGTCAAAAACCTTAAACAGTAAATACATATTTTAATAAAACAATTCAACACATGCTCATTCTGAAAATCTAGCCCAATATACATAAGTATGTGTGGCTGCATTTCATCTTTAAAACAAACGCTACAGGGCAGTATGAAGCTGTTTCTTTTCGTGCATGCTTACTAGCTGACGCTTACCTAACCGTAGACAGCTTTTTCGTTGTTACAAGATTGTCCAGTGGCTCACTGCGCAAGTCGGCAGAGTTGACCATGATATTGGGGTTTGAGTTCAGCGAAGAACAATTACAGAAAGCAGGTAAAACAAAAGCAAAAGCCAAAAGGTAAATTAAATTAGTAAATAACAAGATGAGAATGTTGTAACATCTGAAAACGTGGTAAAAATCCTCAAGGGATTTTTTGAATCGCTTTTGAAAACTCTTATCGGTTGGGTTCAGGGAAGGGGGTGGGCGGGTTAATCAATGCTTTTGAAAACAGTATTGGTTAGGTTTAGGGAAGGGAGAGGGTGGGTCAAAAAAACATACACAGCGGCCTCTGGCGGAATTGCAAAAACAAAAACTACAAAAAAAAAACAAACCTCCTGGAACATATTTGGCGCTGTATATAGGGGTACGTTTTCAGAATGAGCCTAGGTTGAAATAATTATCGTAAAAAATACATTGGACTTTATTCTGCAAACATAACATGTATTCATGATGGCAAGCTTTGTCTGTATGTGCATATTGTTCAAATGCACTAGAAACTGTAGGCCAAATGACACCCATTCACTCATAAAGTAATTTGCTGTAATGCAAACGCATGAACCCGTTTCAGAGTCATTTCATGGTGTAGTAGATGACCCAAACTGTAACCTCTAGTTCTCATTAAAGCTACAGTTGAAGTCAGCATTATTAGACCTCCTGAATTCTAACCCCATCCCACTACACCCCCTCCCCCCCGTATATTTTTCCCCAATTTCAGTTTAACAGAGAGAAGATTTTTTTCAACACATTTATAAACATAATAGTTTTAATAACTCATCTCTAATGACTTAATGATTTATTTTATCTTTGCCATGATGACAGTAAATAATATTTGACTAGATAATTTTACAAGACACTTCTAGACAGCTTAAAGTGACATGTAAAAGCTTAACTAGGTTAATTAGGGATGTTAGGGTAATTTGGCGTATCTTTGTATATCAATGGTTTGTTCTGTAGACAAAAAAATAAAAATAAAAATCATTGACCTTAAAATGTTTGGAAAAATAAAAATCCCAGGGCTAATCATTTTGACTTCTACTGTATTTATTATATCAGGGTTGTGGATTTAATACTACAAATGATGGGATACATGGATCTAAAATGTCCTCACTTATTTAGTTGAAATTGCAGAAATAATGTAAAATCACCAGCTATCAAGGACTGTCAGGATCGGCTGAGTTCAATTTATTCCTTCAAATCACAGAAATCTGTATGGTCTGCAAAAGCATCAGGACACACAGCAAAACTTGCAGAGTTCAAAGCCTGAGCAAATGCAGTGCAGAATCATCAGCCTGAACACGGTTAGAGTCTAAGTATTTATAATTCTGAGCTGAGCATGGGACGCCTGTGATCTTTCAGAAGAAGCATACTCACTGTATAACAACAGACACGGCTTTTCTTACTGCTTCAGCACTGTTGTGATTCCTCGCCTCTGATGCAGGTATGAGGTCGTTAAAATGATCAATGATGCAGCAAATCAAGTATAAACTGGAAATATCATTTTAAAAATGCACATATTCCAGATTCAACTGGAAAAAAAGCAAATGTGACTATTGTATTGTCAGATATGAATTTATAAGATTTCTTTCATTTCATTTTCCTTCGACCTATTCCCTTATTTGTCAGGGGTCGCCACAGCAGAATGAACCGCCAACAATTGCAGCATATGTTTATTTACCCACACTGTAAATAAAATCTGTTATTTTACGCAGCTGGGGTGCAAAAAAAAATTAAAATTAAAATAACAGCTGTTAAATAACAAAGGGTTACTGTAAAATTCAACAACAGTAAATTTCTGTCATTTAACTTACGCTTTTTCACAGTAAATTTTTGTAATTTAATGTTTGCTGTTTTACAGTAAATTTCTATAATTTAACATCCACTGTTTCACAGTAAATTACTGTAATTTAACATCTGCTGTTTTACACTAAATTTCTGTAATTCAAGGTTTGCTGTTTTACAGTAAATTTCAGTAATTTAAGGTTTGCTGTTTTACAGTAAATTTCTCTAATTTAAAGGTTGCTGTTTTACAGTAAATTTCTGTAATTTAAGGTTTGCTGTTTTACAGTAAATTTCTGTAATTTAAGGTTTGCTGTTTTACAGTAAATTTCTGTAATTTAAGGTTTGCTGTTTTACACTAAATTTCTGTAATTCAAGGTTTGCTGTTTTACAGTAAATTTCAGTAATTTAAGGTTTGCTGTTTTACAGTAAATTTCTCTAATTTAAAGGTTGCTGTTTTACAGTAAATTTCTGTAATTTAAGGTTTGCTGTTTTACAGTAAATTTCTGTAATTTAAGGTTTGCTGTTTTACAGTAAATTTCTGTAATTTAAGGTTTGCTGTTTTACAGTAAATTTCAGTAATTTAAGGTTTGCCGTTTTACAGTAAATTTCTGTAATTTAAGGTTTGCTGTTTTACAGTAAATTTCAGTAATTTAAGGTTTGCTGTTTTACAGTAAATTTCTGTAATTTAAGGTTTGCTGTTTTACAGTAAATTTCAGTAATTTAAGGTTTGCTGTTTTACAGTAAATTTCAGTAATTTAAGGTTTGCTGTTTTACAGTAAATTTCTGTAATTTAAAGTTTGCTGTTTTACAGTAAATTTCTGTAATTTAAGGTTTGCTGTTTTACAGTAAATTTTTGTAATTTAAGGTTTGCCGTTTTACAGTAAATTTCAGTAATTTAAGGTTTGCTGTTTTACAGTAAATTTCTGTAATTTAAAGTTTGCTGTTTTACAGTAAATTTCTGTAATTTAAGGTTTGCTGTTTTACAATAAATTTCAGTAATTTAAGGTTTGCTGTTTTACTGTAAATTTCAGTAATTTAACATCAGCTGTTTCACAGTAAATTACTGTAATTTAACATCCGCTGTTTTACACTAAATTTCTGTAATTTAACGTTCACTGTTTTACAGTAAATTTCTGTAATTTAAGATTTGCTGTTTTACAGTAAATTTCTGTAAATTAACCTCCGCTGTTTTACAGTAAATTTCTGTCACTTAATGCCTTATTTTGTACAGTACTTTACGGTAATTAAACATTTACTTTTCATAGTAAATTTCAGTAATTTAATGTCCGCTGTTTTACAGTAAATTTATGTAAATTAAAATCCGCTGTTTCATAGTAAATTCCTGTAATTTAACGTTCGCTGTTACACAGTAAATTACTGTAATTTAACATCCGATATTTTACAGTAAATTTCTGTCATTTAAAGCTCAATGTTTTACAGTAAATTTTGGTCATTTAACATCCGCTGTTTTACAGTAAACTCCTGTAATTTAATGTACGCTGATTTACAGTAAATTTGTCATTTAACATCCGTTGTTTTACAGTAAATTTCTGTAATTTATCGTCCGCTGTTTCACAGTAAATTACTGTAATTTAATGTCCGCTGTTTTACAGTACATTTCTGTAATTTAACCTCCGCTATTTTACAGTAAATATCTGTCATTTAACAGCCAGTGTTTTACAGTAAATTACTGTAATTTAACATATGATGTTTTACAGTAATTTAAGAAAATTAATATCTGCTGTTTAACAGTAAATTACTGTAGTTTAATGTCCGTTGTTTCACAGTAAATCACTGTAATTTAACATCAGCTGTTTCACAGTAAATTTCTGTAATTTAACATTCACTGTTTTACAGTACATTTGTGTAATTTAACGTTCACAGTTTTACAGTAAATTTCTGAAATTTAATGTTCACAGTTTTACTGTAAATTAATGAAACTTAATATCCACTATTTTACAGTAAATTTCTGTCATTTAATGTCTACTGATTTACAGTAAATTACTGTAATTAAACATTCGCTATTTTACTGTTAATCTCTGACATTTAATGTCCGCTGTTTCACAGTAAATGACTGTAATTTAACATCCGATATTTTACAGTAAATTTCTGTCATTTAATGTTCGCTGTTTTGCAGTAAATTTCTGTAATTTAGCATCCGCTATTTTAGAGTAAATTTCTGTAATTTAGCATCTGCTATTTTACAGTAAATTTCTGTAATTTAACATCCGTTATTTTACAGTTAATTTTTGTCATTTAATGTCTGCTGTTTAACAGTAAATTTGTATAACTTAACATCCATTGTTTTACAGTAAATTCGTGTTCGTGTATGCGGCTTGTGCATATATTTGTGTGTGTGTATTTTTGCGTTTGTGTATGCATAAATGTGTGCACTTATGTGATTATGTGCACAAATGTTTGTGCACGCATGAGTGTTTGTGTATGTACGAATTTGTTTGTGTTTTTATGTGTGTGTGCGTGTGCATGGTTTGTTTGTTTGTGCTCGCTTGTGTATGTATGTTTGTGTGCACATTTGTGTGCATGTTTGTGTGTGTATGCATGTTTGAGTTTTTATGTGTGTGTGTATATGTGTTTGTGAATTTGTGCATGTTTTTTTTTGTTTGTACACACGTTTGTGCATGCTTGTGTGTGCATGTGTTTTTGAGTGCGTGTGTGTGTGTGTATATGTGTGTGCGCATGTCTGTGTTTATGTGTGTGAGCGCTTTTGTGTATTGTATGTGTTTGTATGTATGTTTGTGAGTGTATACACTTTTGTTTGTGCATGCTTGTGTGTGTATTTGTGTGTGCATTTTTGTGTGAATGCGTGTGTCTGCATTGCTATGTTTATATATGTAAACACCTCTCTGTGTCTCTCTGTGTGTATGTATGTGTGTTTGTGTGTGTGTGTGCAGCAGATTGGGAGGCCTGCCTGTTTTCCGACAGTCTGACAGACCCTCAGTTCCCATCAGCAGTAGTGAAAAGTCAACCGGCAGCAGTTTACCAGCTCACAGTCAAAGACCTGCTGCTCTCCAGCACTGCGGAACCTGTGAGTACTGACATAACACAAACAGACAGCGCATGGTGTGTGTGTGACTACTGGCCTGCTGTGACATTCAGTGTGACACACAGCCAAGTGTGACATACTTACTACATCCAGCTAGAGGAAACACACAGCGCAGGGATGCCAGATCTCATGCTGCAAAAGAGGAAACGCATGTCAGGAGAATAAGAAACACTTGGTTTGGACAGCTTCCGTTTAAGACTCAGTTTTCCAGACTGCATTCCAACGTGTATGCAAGATTCATTCATTCATTTTCCTTCGCCTTAGTCCGTTTATTTATCAGGGGTCGACAGAGCAGAACGAACCACTAACTTATCCAGCATATGTTTTACACAGCGGATGCCCTTTCAGCCACAACCCAGTACTGGGAAACCCCCATACACTCTCGCATTCACACACACTCGAACACTATGGCTAATTCAGTTTACCCAATTCACCTATAACACGTGTTTGGACTGTAGGGGAAACCAGAGTATCCGGAGGAAACCCATGCCAACCATAGAGAACATGCAAACTCCACACACAAATGCCAAATGGCCAAGCCGGGACTCGAACCAGCAACCTTCCTGCGGTGAGACAACAGTATGAAAGATACTAAAGCTATTTTTAATCTATAAAGTTATAGATATAGATTTGAATGCACACTCAGAAGTCAGCCGTTCTTACTTTAAATTAAATTCATGAAATTAAATTAATGCAAAAACTGTGCATTAGGCAAGGCAAGATTGAATTTTACCTAAAATCAAAAAGTTGAGCTTTACAGCTCCCCAATTTCAACTTCCTTCTGGAAGTAAATCGCACGGCCCCTGATTTTAACCCCCTCCCGGAAGTAAATCACTCTAGCTAGCCAAACGTAATAAAAGGTATTGATCTCAGTCAGACTCCAGGGACTTTAACCCCTCCCATAGACCTTTTTCACAGCGGAATTGAACACCGGAAGCGCCCTTCGAAGCAGTGTATCGATATTTCCGGGTTCGCTAGGAGTCGCAGAGACATGACAGCCTCGGGACAGCGGATGACTTTCTCACGGTCAACTTTGCCATAATTTGGACAGGAAGATGTTGTTCGGTGAATGTGTAAAACTGCCTAAATAAAACAGCATTTAAAAGATAATACCGATTTGCAGAGTTTGTGCAGAAAACGTGTCTTACACAGCTTTGCAACGTCAGGTTCCAGTAAGGTGCACAGCCAACAGGATAAAATCTGCTCATTCAAGCCATTCGTAAACTAGATTAACCTGGCTATTTAACATCCAGCAGGATGAGTTTTATGTCAGTAGTCCCGTCTGTAAACTGTGCTAACCCCCTCCTTCCTTTTTATTCAGAGTCAGATATAGTGAATGGCGAGGTAGCTGTACAGGCGAGTTGCTATCGGTTAATACAATACAGGTTGTTTAATGCTCGTGAGGTTTTCTCAAGTCTGGAAACACGTTAGCTCCTACTCGTGGATAATATTCATTTTTATTATTTATTTAAAGAACAGCAAATAACATTTTAAACATTAACACATTAAATAACACATTAAAGTATACTATCTTTATTATATAACTGACTAAACAAATAATTTTGCTGTCAAACCAATAAAAAAAAGAGATTTGCATTTGTATGAACTGTCTATTATTCCAAAATAACAACAATGTAGGGATAAATCATGCTTATAGATTAATGACCATGATGAGCACTTGTTTGTGGAAGGCAGATAGCTTAACTGGAGTTTTGTCTATATTATAATTACTCATCAAAATAAACCATAGACCACCAGTCTTTAATGAAACAATAATCTCCGCTTTGAAATGCATACAGCATAAGAATGTACTCCCGCATATAACTTGAAACGGCATTCAACCCCCTTTAATATTGTCATCCATGATTTTCCCTGTCCTTCGTCTTTCGGGAGATCGTGGTCATTAAAGTAAGAGTGTCGTTTTTGAGTTGGAGCAGCTGGAAACGCAGCAATCACAGCGCTGAGATGACCCTGCCATTCTTTCTTGCTTCGTCGCATTGAAACCGGATGTTGTGGTACACTGCTTCGCTTACCGGAACCAGGAAGTGTGAAAAAGGCCTATTACAGTTATCTGTGTCGAGTCCAGTCTCGGATCTCACTTATTGTAATTACGCTGCTATCCCAGAGAGACAGATCCACCACTATAGTGATGGCCCAAGGTATATATTTTAACTGCCCAATCAGATACAGTTTTTCCATATTCCAGGTGTATCCTATTTTCTCATTTTACTCCAGGACTTCCCCATTCAGGTTACCCCCCCTCCCCTCTCTCTCTCTCTCTCTCTGTGAACTTTTTCTGTGCCTATTAATCTATTAGACATCTCCAACAGATTTGATTTTTTACCTAAGGTCAAAAAAGTTAAGCTTTACAGCTCAAATTGTGTGCACCCTAATTTAATTTCTTTTGGAAGTAAATTCAGCAATTAGTGGTAATTATAATAATATTACAGATTTGCGACAATAAATGAAAAAATGTATGAATTGCTCTGAGATTTGGTTGGTATTTCTCACTAAGAATTTTATTTTAAGAGCGGCACCAGTGGTTAGCACTGTGGCCTCACAGAAAGAAGGTCGCTGGTTCGAGTCCCGGCTAGGCCAGTTAGAGTTTCTGTGTGGAGTGTGCATGTTCTCCCCGTGTTGGCGTGGGTTTCCTCCAGGTGCTCCGGTTTCGCCCACAGTGCAAACACATGCGCTATAGATGAATTGAATAAACTAAACTGGTCGTAGTGTATGAGTTTGTGTGAATGTGAGAGTGTCTGGGTGTTTCCCAGTACTGGGTTGGAGCTGGAAGAGCATGCGCTGTGTAAAACATATGCTGGAATAGTTGGTGGTTCATTCCGCTGTGGCAACCCCTATAAATAAGGGACTAAGCCGAAGAATAATGAATGAATGAATGAGTTTTTTTTCATCAATCGCCATCTAGTGTCAGGAGGTGATTTTGCACATTTACTCACCAGTGAAAACAATATTAATACAATATGACAGATTTTAACTGTAGCATTTTTTTTATTTCATCATTGAAATCATTGAGACGACATGGTGGCTCAGTGGTTAGCACCAAACACAGTGGCTAACTTAGTGGTTAGTCCAAACACATGCACTATAGGTGAATTGAATTACTAAATTTTCCATTGTGAATGTGTGTAAATGAGTGGGTATGGATGTTTCCCAGTACTGGGTTGTGGCTGGAAGGGCATCCGCTGTGTAAAACATATGCTGGATATGTTGGTGGTTCATGCCACTGTGGCAACCCCTAATGAATAAAGGCACTAAGCCTAAGCAAAATGGATGAATAAATGAAATCATTGACTGTTTTACAGTGTGAAATATCATGGGATTTTTAAAAACTCTACTGCATATGTTGGAAGTCAGGGAGTTTTACATTAGTTTTTGATCAAGTGATGGAATATCTGGGACTTTAATGCTGTTTTACATTTTGCTTCCCATTTATTAAGATGTCATTTTCTATACCTTATCATATTGTTTCACATGTGTTGCCTGTTGTTATGGTCAGGCTATTTTCACTGACATTTTATTTCTTTCCCACTTGGCAACCGGCAATCAATTGCATTCACGAGGCTCTACCTGGTAAAATATGGTCTGTTGCTATTTTTTGATTTCGTGTAAAACATTGCAAATGATTAGAAAAGTATCCTGGCTGGCCAAAATCAGCGGGAAATCTGCATTAATAAAAAGCTAGCATAACACACACGCACACACAAATAGCTAAATTCTGACTGCTCAACACCATCCTATTTTTCTATTTATTATTATAGGTCAAAGAAATTCATTGTTTTAGGGTGCTTTCACACCTACACTTTTGTTTCGGAATGTATCTCGTTTGCCCAGTTAGCGCGGTTCGATTGGCATATGTGAACAGGGCAATCGCGCTCTGTTCCGCGCCAAAGTAATCGCTCCGAGATCGCTTGAATGAGGTGGTCTCGGCTCGATTGAAACGAACCCTGGAGCGGTTCGATTGCAGTGAGAAAGTGATCCGATCCGAGCGCGGTTATATCACAGTGTTTTATGGATGTAATAGACATACGGCTATATGAAGAGAGAATTATGAGTAGGGCGGGAAGTTTCGCGAGTCTCCGGATGCCCGCAAATGAGTGATGATCTCCCGGTAATCTCGAGTCTCTCTCCCAGTCCTCAAATAGGCATCGTCGCGCACACTTCTCACCCCTCCCCACCGTGTCTCTCCACAGACACGTCGCGCGCGCGCACCCTGTCAATCACCACCAAACCACCACCTCTCCTGACAGCTGAGCGAGACGCTGCAAAATAAACCCTGACACTCTTACCAATGTAAGGAGAGTTTACTCGCACGTGACTTGTTTATGCTCTTTTAGTCCGATTAGAAACTTTGCAGTGTGAAAGCGAACCGCTCCAAGAGCAAAGAGCAACAATGTAACAGTTTTAATCTCTGTTTCGGAACAACTGAATCGATTCACAGATGTAAAAGCACCCTTAAGGTGCTTTCACACCTACACTTTTGTTTCGGAACGTATCTCGTTTGCCCAGTTAGCGCGATTCGTTTGGCATATGTGAACAGGGCAATCGCGCTCTGTTCCGCGCCAAAGTAATCGCTCCGAGATCGCTTGAATGAGGTGGTCTCGGCTCGATTGAAACAAACCCTGGAGCGATTTGATTGCAGTGAGAAAGCGATCCGATCCGAGCGCGATTATATCACAGTGTTTTATGGATATGTAATAGGCTTACGGCTATATGAAGAGAGAATTATGAGTAGGGCGGGAAGTTTCGCGAGTCTCCGGATGCCTGCAAACGAGTGTTGATCTTCCTTTAATCTCGCGTCTCCCTCCCGGTCCTCAAATAGGCATTGTCGCGCACCCTTCTCACCCCTCCCCACCGTGTCTCTTGAAGAAGATTTTTATTCTCTCAGTGTGAAGTATTTTCTAAGTGTAAAGCAGTTAATTTTCTCTTCACAAAATGTAGGTAGTGTTTGCAGCAAACATGCCATCCTGTGTTAAAAATACAGTGATATGTCTGTGTAAGATGAGTATGCCTGCACAGGAGCAACACTTGGAGAAGGCTGAGTGACTGATTGTGTAGAATAACTGAATATGTAAAGCAATGATTATATATGTTAAATACTTGTATGAAGCTATATGTGTCAGAAGTTAGAATGAGTAACATTATCAAGTTATTATCCTATCATAACAATGTATGTAAACACTTAGTTCCTTTGCATAAGTTGCATCTATACTTTGCTGACATAGACCTGTAACATCTCTGCTGACATGAGCTAGTGGGCTGAGAGCCAAGAATAGCAGGACCCCTTAAACTAAAAACCTATTCAAAAATGGTCAAAAGTTAAAAAGAGACACATGGGGGTGTGTCAAAAACGTAAATAAAGGAGAAGGAGCAGGAGAGACTTTAAAAGGTGTCCAGGAGAGACTTCAGAATGCTCTGGGGTCTGCTCTGCTCTTTCTCGGCTTTATTATGGAGAATAAAGTCTATTTTCTGATATTCAAAACCTCCGGTCTGATAATTTCTAAATGATAAGAAGTCTAAATTTACGACACTCTCCACAGACACGTCACGCGCGCGCACCCTGTCAATCACCACCAAACCACCACCTCTCCTGACAGCTGAGCGGGACGCTGCAAAATAAACCCTGATACTCAGACCAATGTGAGGAGAGTTTACTCGCAAGTGACTTGTTTTAGCTCTTTTGGTCCGATTAGAAACTTTGCAGTGTGAAAGCGAACCGCTCCAAGAGCAAAGAGCAACAATGAAACAATTGTAATCTCTGTTTCGGAACAACTGAATCGATTCACAGGTGTGAAAGCACCCTCAGTCAGCGAAAGTCAGTGAAAAGTCAGGAGATTTGACATTCAGCTTACAGTGGGAACTATGTATACAAGTACACATGAATTAAACCTATTATGCCCCTTTTCACAAGATGTAAAATAATATTCTAGATAGTGTATGTGTGTGTGGTGTCAGCTCAAAATACCACACAAATAATGTTTTATACCTCATTCAATCCGCCCATGTAATCCAAATCGTGGCGTTTTAGTGACTGTCACTTTAAATTCAAATGAGATTCTGCTCTTTTCAAAAGAAGGCGGAGCTACAATTGCCTATGTGCCAGCATAGTGGCAGATTCAAAAACAAGACTAACTTTCTATGCTAATGAGGGAGAGGTGGTCACTAATGGGCTGATGACACAAACAAACGAAGAATGTCTATCAAAGTGTTTCTGCAGACACACACACAAAAAAAATCGATGTTTACCATTATAGAAGCTAGTTATATTCACACACTGTTGCCACACAACTGTCTAAACCCCTTATAAAAGTAATCTTTGCATAATGTCCTCTTTAACTAATAACATTAAACCTCATGTATATTTCTAGTCAACAAAACCCTCCACCCAACAATCTCAGCATCTGATTCTCAATGACGATGAGAAGAAACTCTTAGCCAAAGAAGGAGTGAGTCTTCCCAGCCAACTGCCTCTTAACAAGGTAAGTTTAAAGGGATAATTCACCCAAAATTGAGCATTTCCTCACCATTTATTTTTCTAAAGCAGTATTTCCCAACCGTGTTCCTGAAGGCACACCAACAGTACACTTTTATAACCTCTTCCTCATCAAACACACCTGAATCAACTCATCAGAACATCAAAAGAGACCCCAGAACCTGAAATGAATGGGTCAGATACGGAAGACATCCAAAATATGTACAGTTTGTTTGCCTGCAGGTAGAGGTCTGCACGGGACTGATTTTTTTAGCCAGGTTTTAGTCCACACCCGACCGCTCCTGCCGTATATCAGCCTATGTTCACCCACTGCCTGCTTAGAATAATTTTCTACCTGACAGTTCCCACTAAACTTAGATCTAGTTTCCAAAATCTCACATTTAAAATGGGATACTACCAAAAGAGAAAGAGAACAGATGAAACATTACATTGTGCAAGAATTGTAGGCTAGATGTCAGTTTAGATTGTCGCTTTGGGATGAGACATGAGTGCTGCCTTTAACCTGAGGTTCCAGACTTGTGACTGATAAAGGGTTAATCTTTGAGGTGTTATCACATCGCACAAAGGGTATTTTTTTCCATTTGTGTCTATGACGCATGAAAAAGACTCCCATACATCAGCTTTTCTTGATGTGGGCTTCCTGACAGTAAACTGACCATTTTCTTATGCAAGCTGAAGGACAGTGCCTCTTTGCTGAAGGCAGCGCAGTTTGCTCTGCAATGGTAAAGCCTGCTCTGAGGACCGTTATGCAGATGATGTGCAGACAGACTGTATGGAAAAAAAGCATGTGCAGAAAGCACTGGTTCATCATGTGTAACAGTCATGAGCACTGGCTGTACTAATGCCTAATAATAATGAGGAAATCACAGATATGCTGTTCCGAAATAATGTCGGGACTCTGAAGCGCTATGTTGTTAAACCACCGGCTCCCTTTTTCATTACGCCAGTTATTAACTACTACCGCACTCTATTCTGAAATTTATTGCAAGAAATCTGGGGTTTGTTTCCCAAAAAAACTGTTAGCCGACTAAGGTTGCAAGTTCTCCAAGTTCTCGCAAGGTCTCTTCCAATGAACATTCGCAAACTGCGTCGCAAACTTGAGCACTCGAAACTACCAATCTGGAGCTTTAGTTTGACATAGTTCCTGGCTGTGTTCTATTCCCACTTATCCCAATATGCCATATTCATTTAGAACTTTCTAACATTCAAAGTTGGAATTATTAAAAATAAAAAAGCATTAAAGTCATCTCTCTTAGGTGTAATTTGATTTCAAACTATTTTTACAGTTTAGTTTTAGCAATCTTCATGTTTTACAATTGTACTCCTTTCGCAGTGCACTTTAAAAATATTGATATTATTTTGAACACAGCCTCATGGCAAAAGCTATAGGTGACCTATTATTTAAAAGCGGAATCTATGTTATGTGTCCAAAGCTTATGAAAACTAAAAGCATACTTTTAACACAAAGTTACTTTTAAATTATAGTATCTGTACTGTATATGACATGGGCCTGTTGGTTGGAACTTTCTGCTGTGGTTTACATGTGTCAAATTGTAAAAGTAGACTTTTCTAAAAAAAAAAAAAAAAAAAATATATATATATATATATATATATATATATATATATATATATATATATATATATATATATATATATATATATATATATATATATATATATATATATATATATATATATATATATATATATATATATATATATATATATATATATATATATATATATATATATATATATATATATATATATATATATATATATATATATATATATATATATATATATATATATATATATATATATATATATATATATATATATATATATATATATATATATATATATATATATATATATATATATATATATATATATATAATATATATATATATATATAT